CCGCGCCTGGACCTCGCTTAATTTTAAAGTAAATATTTTTACGTGAACCTAATTAATACGTCATGTGGTATAGCGTCACTATAGCAACAAAAACTGTTGAACACTGTGCTGGCTTGATGCGGATTGGGCAGTATTTTGCGTGTATGCGAAATTTTTTCTATGTGACCCTTGTCAAGGTCAACAATTTTTTCTTAGAAATAGTTTCACGAATAATGGTCTATTAATAGTTAGATTTGTATTACCGATTTAAAATTGACTTATTAAAATTTATTATTCAAAACAATGAAGAAAAATAGAATACTTACAAATTTAAGTACATGTACGTGATGTTCATTTCATTGCAATATACAACCGAAATATTAAACAACCACAGATGGCGCTATTCATATACATCCGAAATAGGTCATGTTTTTATTGTTCAAGGCTGTTAGGCATACACTCGTGTAATCCGTCCACGGGAAAGACACCGGGCAGCGCACTACAGGTATTATGTTATAGTTCATATATCGAGTATGATTTGGGGATGCTGCTCGTTGAAGTTATGATTTTAAACGCGATATATAGCAGAGGTTTAACATCGTAGAGCGGCTAAAAGGTTTCGCACATCGACTGACTTCAGCTTCCTAACTTAAATAACACCACGAATAGCCGTCGAATTGTGAATACTACTTGAAGTGTTATAATAAGGTGATTTGCTTTCTTGTAGCTAGCATTTATTGACGCTGAGCATCGGAATGCGTGACCTAATTGCGCATATTGGCATTCATATGCAAATATGATAAGCGAACGCATCAATGGCGACCCGTGACCTCAAAGGTGAGAACACACAGGACTTATCACCGTGGGGTGTATGTCTGTATACTACATTTTAGCACCATTATAGGCTTCTTTAGGTATCTGCCATATAATGGTATAATGTATCTGCCATGTATTAACGTCGCTATGATGCCGGCCATGCTTATCGAAGCGTTGGCGTTCTGAATGGTGAGAGCGATCACGGTCGTTTCGAATCCTGTTTTATATAAAATCTTAAATCGTACGTTATTTATTGTCAGAAACCCAACACACACTCAATATTATGATATTCATTGTCGAATTGGTACTACATATTAAATCGATCTATAAGTTGATAGAAACACGATTTTACCGGGGCTTGGCTAAAACATAATCCTCATTGTTTTGAAGCATGGTACACTCTACTTCGGTCTTTACGTTTGAAAGGTGGGGCAAAACAAGCTCGAACTGGTACGGTTTGACAGCAGAGACATCATACACAGCAAGTCCAGTTTCACTAGAGCTGTCATAATCATAGTCGCTTGAATCTGCCATAGTTCGCCAATAACACTACGAGTTTGGGAAGCAATACAGTGAAAACGTAGACTATAGCGTTGACCAATCAGGGTTGTGCATAAACTACGTCACTGAAACAACCCCCAGAAGCGGCTCTCCGTAGGAAACTGGGCTGATGTCGTCTGTTTTTCGGGTCTTTTTAAATCGTTATAAAAAACAATAGGCTGGTTGGAAAGTTCACATTTTTATTCAGACTCGATTATGAAATAAACCCTAAAATCCAAAGTTCAGTGCCCTTTTAAGGTCTCAGACTGCTATGGAACAGATTGGAACGCGGTATTTTTCGTTGGTCAGTCTGATGCGTGCCGCGTTTGTATTGGGGCTTAAAGGGCAGTGGTCGTCGCGGCGCGTACTGTTCGATGTGAGACTTGTCGCATACGACTTATTTACCACTTCCGTGTCACTGAGAATGTTCTAGAACCGTACTGTGTCTGGGTGGAATATTCTAGATTTTTTTTTAGAAACTGGTTTAATAGGTAATAGAACACTGTAGGAGGCAATAGAAGGTAATGGAACATTCTAGAAATTTGTAGTAAGTTCCAGACTCATTATGTATGCTGATGTAATGGTCTATTTATAGACAGTGGGGGTATATATAGGGGAGTTGTTCAGCACTGAGTTCAGATCGGAGATCTCGTTGAATTGTATTGGAGTTTAAGTATCTAGTCATTGGAGTAGTGGAGTTTTACCGCGTTATTGTACTCGATGTTTGCAGAGTATAATAATACCAATACCAGTTGAAACCTCATCTGTTGGCTCCGTGTTCGTATTTTATCATCGCCGCCAGGGAAGTCTTTCTGTTACTGTTGCCATTTTGGTATTTGAACCATCACACCTGTACTATACCAATTACGGTAATATTACGTTGCGTGTGACAGGACTCATAGCGACGTGTACAACGCGTGTAAAATACATTGTGTATTTACAGAAAAAAACGAACACGCACTGCGGGACGACCACCTCCCTTTAAATGTTTTAATCCAGTAAACGACAGATCGAACTAACGCGACTATAACTTAATAACGGGATGTCCTTTATTATTTCACGAAATAACGCGAGAGTGTTTGCAAGATGTACACAGGGAGTAGTATTAGTTGGGTCGTAGTTCATTTCTTTCTTATTTTCTTAAATAACTCCACAAATGCGACAAAACATCTGCAAGTTATTTCCATGTGTATTCTCCATGTTTCGGTAATTATACAATTAAATGAGATTTAATTTCTGGCTCAAGTTGAAAGTATTCGGCTGTGCGTTTGGCACTAGAATGACATTACGAAAACACAAGAAACAGGTAAACGCGAGTGCGAGTGCGTTCGGAAATCTTCGGGTTCTGAGGACAAATTCGTGTCAATAAAGTACAAGCAAAGTCTGCCAAGGCATGTATCCTACAGGCGTAAGCCCCAATTCACACTTACAAAAATAGACGTTGCTAGTCTGTTCTATAGTCACTATTAGTGGTCTGAGTTTAAGGTATAACAATGTTCATAAAAGTGGCATTGTATGTGTTTAGGCCTCTTCAGTCTCAATTTATTTATTAACTTTTTTGCCACGTCTGCTAACGCCGACCGTCGTGACAGTTTATTTCATTTAATACTTATGTTAACGACGTACAACACACCATTACTTGGCAATGGAGGGATCTGGACATATAACTGTTTGTAAAGAAACGTTGTTACGATATGTTGATCGTGTTAATTATTCGTATGTTAATTATTCACTACAGATAGCGATGCATTGGTTCGTGGTATGGGAAAGTTAACGATATCTGATGAAGGTACTAGTAATCTTCTATACGTATTGACCCGATGACAGATAACATAACATAATATGCCTGCGACACAAATCATGCCGAAATCTCGTTCTGGACGAGAGTAACAAGACTGGTCGTTTTCGTTTCTCAGATATGGTTAAATTATCTTCCATGAGTAAAATATCCTGACTGGATAGACCAGACTGCAATCTCAAATCATAATGCATTGTGGGATAGTTTTGACTGAAATGGAACCGTGATCAAACACAACTCTGCAAATTACAAATCGCGCCTGATATTGTAACCTGATAAACAGTCCCACAATGCACTATAATTTGCAATTGCGATATTTTCGAATGGTCAGGACACAGTAACTGGCATACAAGTGATAATAAAATAATTAATCTTGAGAACGGCTTGAAACTAAATAAAAAGACACTTTTTTTCAAGCCGTATTCAAGATGGCTTCCACCATATATAGGAAATATCGGTAGATTTATCGCGTTTATTCTATTATCACGTGTGGGCCAGCTGACTTTGGGTCACGGTAAATAATGAAATACTATGAGAGGGTTCCTAAATAGATTTAGTAATTCCACGTCAAAATGAATTTTATTGTTCAGCTTTTTTATCTTTGTTGAAACTAACGCATCCTAAATATATTTAATACGGTGCATTGTATCGATGTGGCCACTAGTGGCGCTCTTAACCATATCACGTATCAAACATACGTGATATGGTTAAGAGCGCCTATGACTGTTCTAATACACTTTTCCAAATTTGATTTGACTTTCCAAAATATGCAAATCGAATTATTCTCCCAATGTTTTGTGAATTGAAGCCATAAAGCTACCTTAAAACATGCTTCCCATCCAATGAGAAATGAGTTGATTGTTTGTTATGTATAACCTCCAACCTAGCACGCCAAGTTTAAAATTGTCCGGTTGTGTAAGATTTCTTTACATTATATATATATATATCAAGTATACTATTAGCATACATACTTACTGTCATTTTGCGGAGTCAATTATCTCAACAAATAACTAACAATAGAATAACTTTTTAAATCATGGTTACCTCATTTTTTATCATTATTCTCCTCCTCGAATAATACTATTCCACGTACCAGTGTACCCAGGACTAATATTAGCCTAAATCTCAGTTCAATCTTCGTGCACCGTTTGATCAACCAAATTGTTTGTAGTTGGTGCGCCCCCAGTAGATAATTAATGACGATGATCTAATATGACTTGCTTTTAATGATGGGTGTAATTCCACAATTTGATCTCAACAGACATGGTACAAGATGATAGTGTGAACTGTTTAACAAAATCTGTTCTTGCGTACGTACTTGGTAAGTCCATTGAGCATGCTGTGGTAGATATTCTCAAGGATCGTTGCGATGGCTGTCATCAAGAATGGTGTTGTCCAGAATATCACGAATGTTGTTACTTCGGCAAAGGCTACACTGGTGAAGCAGATGCCGTCGATAAATACTATTACGAAGCGGTCGATCACGTAGATGAGCATTTCGTGATGGAGTGCTTCAAGGCTGCATGCAAAGTATACCCGCTATTACGTAATATGGATTCTAGTACCGCCAAGGAATATTTGATTTTACTGGAAATGCAATGGTCACAGCGACCTCGGTGTTGCCTAGAAACACTATACACATTGAATTCAGAACCTCACGATATGCTGGATGAAATCATGTTAGCAGTTAATGAAGAAAGATATTATGCAGAATGAAACAAAAAAGACTCCACTCTGACTTATTTTATTCTTGGCCGGTGGCCAAGTGATTAATTAACAGCACGAGTGGCCAATCAGCGACAGCATCACAGCAGATGATTA